ACATAAAATAAAAAAATATATAGCAATAATATGACAAAAAACATTTAAAATTTCATCAAAGACATATGTTTACTCTAGCTAAACCAACTTGAAAGTACTTTTAAATAATAAAGTTGAATAACCACACTAAAAACTAAATGTCATTTGCAAATTTCATTAAAAACTATATTCAGTAAGACTCAAAGGTCATTTTCAGAATCAGATTAAGAATCCCTAACTACTTGCAAGACAGGAGTTAAAAGCAACTTAATGATTTCATTGGATATAAGTTGTTTTTTGTGTTTTGTTGATAGACTTCTGATCACAGGGTCACTCATGAATTAATCAAACGCAAAAACAAGTCTTTTAAACCACCAGTCCATGAAAGCTTCCTGGCACGGTCAGATCTGGTCAAGCGCATGAAAGTATGGCGGGTTTCTCCTGGCTTTTCATTTGTCAACCCTATAAGTAGTGGACAGTTTTCAACCAAAGCCTTACCATGACAGAGAACTTTGTGAAGAGTTGGAGTGATTGGAAACCAATTGCAATAATCAAAGTAAATTGCCTTAGTTTCGTCACAGAACCTACCAAATGCTTAAGCATCTAAGGCAAATCCACAAGCCAGTGCGCCCCAAATAATAGCTAAGTTTTTCGAATGCACGATTGTACGAAAATATAATAGAAAAAAATTGTCTCAAATTTTTGAAATGCAAGAAAAAAGTTATGAATCAAAATTTATCAAAGTACATTTTTCTTATTTTCATGATCTTAAGATACTTGGGTTTTGAGATGCTACTCTTGCAACATTTCCTGTTGTTGTTGTGCCACCTCCACTATCTCTGCGTTGGTCCACATTCAAACCAAGATAGACCTTGAAATTTTTCTTGACTTTTTCTTCTCCTACTTTCATTTGAGCTTTTTCTTCCTCTGAATACCTACTGTGAGATTTCTTCAAATCTTGTTTATAATCAAGATGCAGAATGGCCTCAAAGGAGCGAATTCTAAAATGCAAAAAATTGCTCCATGTTTGAATGCTCCATCATTGACAGAAAAATGTCCGAATTGACTTGACATTTATCTTGATGATTGATGGCATAAAAGGGAATGGCTAGTTAATGGGCAGGAAGTCAGTTGGTTTAGGACCTTTCATTCAATCATGAAAAAGATAACTTTGCATTTTACAACTACCTGTTCAATAAATAGCTACAACAATTATCCCTAAAGTTCTTTGTAAGACTATTTTTTTACCGGTCTTATAATGGCGAGAAAAATATTGGAGTAGGTTACCTTTGCAAAATCCACCAGAATAAGATCTTGAAGGTTAAGAATCTCTTCTTGGAGTCTAGCTATTTAACAAGCTTGGTTTTTTTTAGACTCAGATTTAGTTGCTATTCTGATAGGTCAACAAGAACTGCCACTGTTAGCATCCCTATTGATGTAAAAAAAACATATGTTTGTTGCTTTCATCTCTTGCTTGAAGTGAAGCCATTTGTGAGACAAAATATGTTTTGTCATAAGGAACTTTCCCACTTTTATCCTTTTGATGAAAGGTATTTTTACTTCATATTTGAAGTAAAAGCAATGATTCAGAGATTCCTTGACAGAGGCATTATCCTTCTCCCTTTTAAGTAAGAGGGCATCTTCCAGGAATATCCTGATTAATAGGAACAAACAGTTTAATGGGAGTTTTTAGGAACCATAAATTTATAAAGTTTTTAAAACCTGCATGCTTTTATAATTTATGTTGTTAAACTTATATGTTGATAATTTAGTTAGATTGAATATGGAATAATAGAAAGATCTACAAAGTAAAAAAGTTAAAGGGAGGCAAGAGAAAATATAAATTCCTTCCTATACCTTTTTACTGTATGGTTCAAAAGGTTTTGAAGTGTAACTTTTGCTGTCAATGCATCTACTTCAATTCCATTAGGTCTGCAGTCTTTTTTTTGTTTCAAGAACCTGAAACGAAATTTACAGACCTTAAGATGTTGAAATTACGTCAGCAAAAAATTATTAACTATTCTTGATATAATTTATTAACTAAAGAATCAATTAAAATGTTTCACTTACAGCATTATAATTTAACCAGATGTTTGAAAAGTTTTCAGCACATTTTAAAATGTTTCAAGAGAACATATCATCTTTTTTAGTTGGCAATATGTTCTCTTGGAAATACCGTTGTTGAACATAAAGGTAAGGGCAGCAGTTTTTAGGACAGACATTTGCAGAGGAGGTTTCAGAGCTGCCTTTAAGGCTTTTTTGACAACCACTTCAGGTTGGTTTAGTAGTTTGCAGTTCATAAATCTCAGTTTTGTTGGAGATTGAGCTGCAGCTAACAAGATAGCACCATTTTCATGATTGGCACAAACTTCTGCACTTGAAAGTTGCTTCCACGGTGAGATTTCTGTTCTAAGTCTTTTGAAGGTCGTCTTACCTTTGATTTCTTAGGTAGAAATGAGTCCCTAAAAAAGGTAATTAGTTATTAAAACAATCCTTTCATGGATAGTACTATAAACCACACCACATTATAAGAGAAGAATAAAAGTAAATTTAGAGTATATTCTTTGCAGAATTCTAATAAAATAAGTTTTTCAAAAAGTTTATTAGGAAGAGTAAAATCCTTGGACAGAAAGCTTCTTTTTTTTTCACTTTCAAAGAGCCTGTCAATGTAGTAGAAGTTTTTCTTGTATACTTTTTCTACATCGAATAAAAAACTTCAAACTTTTTGCCTCAGTTCTCCAACTCAGGCAAAAAACTAAAAAATGTGTCTCCAACCTGTAGGTTTAATGTAGGTTTCTAAGAAGTTCAGCTGACCAGAAACATCAGTAAACTTCAGCCCACTAGTTTGCATAGCCTTTAGAAGATCTATTCTTGGAATGGGGTACGTCTAAAACAGAACAAATACACCATTTTATTTTATTTTTACAACAGTAATGCAAAATCCGGGTAAGTAAAAAACTTTTGGGCAAAAATCAAATTATTCAAATAAAAAAATTGTTTTGTAAAAGTTTTCATGTAGACCGCGATCCGTGCAGGTTACTTGCACCGGTCGGTGACCTCCCTCTCAGAACCATGTAATTTTTTAGAAATAGTACTTTATTATATGTAATAACATTATCGAAAAAGTTCCCAAGTTTTTCTTCTGCAGTTTTTGAGAAAAAAGTGTTAGAACCCCCTATAAAAATCGATTTACACGACTATCGTTTCGTTTCGTTAAAAATTGTCAATAAAAAACAGAACTTATTTTTGTATAATTTTTCTCAAGCTCATTTTAAACAAATGCATGTGGCAAATTACTCGTCTTTCTAATAATCAAAACAAAATAAAAACATGGCCGCATCCGAGTCTTGCAAACTCTCATGTCTTATTCATTTTTCAAATTGTGAAGTTGAACAATTAAGAAATTTTATTAATAAAACTTATTTTATCACGAAATGAATGGCTTATGATAAATGACGAAAATTCAGAAGCTACGGGTATAGCACATAAAGTTGTAAGTTGTCCTGAAAATTTTGATAAAAAAATGGAATTCCACCTACTCTTTTTAATTTTCTGTCAATAATTGGTTATACAAATGAAGTTAGTTACAAAAATTATGTCAATATAGAGTTTAAACTGAAGTTGAAAGTTCTATCTATTGCACAAGATTTATTGTTTATTTTTTCAAAAGGTAAAACAACAACATATAAGTCTTTAGCATTAGTTACTGCTATCAAGCAAATGTCTGGTTCCCGCAAACTTGTAAGAATTTTAAATAACTTTGGACATGCTGTTCTTCAATGACTTTGAAGGGGTTTGAAAGTGCAGTTGCAACTTTAAACTCTAATTGTGAATATTCAGTTGTACCAAAGAATATTCAACAAAATATCTTTACTATACTTCTCTATGATAATGCAGATTTCACAGAAGAAACTCTTAGCGGTTCTGGAACAACCCATATTGCACACGGTATTTGCATACAAAAACTGTCTAATTTTAATAAACCAGATTTTTTTAAAGTTAGCAAGCGCATAAGGACAGTAAATGTTGAATTGAGTGAAATACCAGTTTATTTTCTGGGAAAAAAAGTTTCCCTTAACTTAAAAAAATTATTTGAACACAAAAATGTAGTCATAAATAATACTGACATTTGTCAGGAATATTACAGACATCTTGATTTAGCATACATCACTTGCAAATTATCTCAGTTAGATGCAGCAGGAATTTTGCCATGTTGGACAGGTTTTAACACAATACGCTCCTTATATAGTTCAAATAAAGGAAGTGTTTCAACATTTACGTACTTACCAATTATAAATGCTCCTGTTACTGAACTCTAAGTGGGAGCTATTGAATGGTTTGATTCAAAAGTAACGTTTTACACTGAGTTGCCAAATTTAAAAAATGTTGTGTTTTAAAGTGTTTTTTAAAATGTTGTTTTTTAAAGCCTCTTATAACTGAAAATGAAAACTCAGTTTTATCGTACGTTGAAGAACTTTCTTTGACACTTATGAGATTGGGTTTAAATCTATTACAGACCTTGCTTATAGATTTGAAATTTCAAAATTGACTTCGTTAAAAGTATTTCTAAGATGGATTGACATTATGTACTTCAGAATGAAACATTTAATTAAATGGCCTGCTCGCAATGAGATTATAGAAACTATGCCTTTATGCTCTAGAAAATATTTTGAAACAAAAATGGCTGTAATAGTTGATTGCTTTGAAATATTGATAAATAAATCATCTAAAGAGAGAGCTAAAAATTCCAGGATTTACATAAGGAAAGTTATAGACCACAGGCCATCGATCTGTAGTTTCGTAGTGCAGTAATGAGCTCTAACCGTTTTACAAATTATTTTGCGTTTTAAGGTATAATAAGTTGATGGGTAAAATTTCTCAACTTCAATCGCGCAGTTTTTAAGTTATAGCTCTTTTAAATTTTCAAACTTCAACCTTATCGTGTGTTTCGATATCTCTGCGCCATTTTTTTTGTCGATTTATTGTTTGTGTATTTTACAGAATACAATAAACTCTAAAAAAAGCTTTAAATTATGTTTGACAAATTACACAAAAACACAATATAATTAATTTTTTTCATTATCCGTAAACAAAATGTCAGCCGAGTGCCACAAACCGTTCTGTATTGTTCATTTAACTGGAAGCAGTGGCGTGTTAAATAAGTTTTCTAAAAAAACGTTTGAAAATTTTTGTATAAAAAGAACTAAATGGCTTTCTCTTGCGGAGGAAGGGAAAACTGTTGCGGAAATTACTCTCAATTTTGTTGGGAAAGATGTTTCATTTGAGAATCTTTATGCTACAACAACAGGAAGCACTTGCTCTCTATATTATTATTTAAAATGTTACCAAAAGTTCACTGACAAAGTCCTTATTGCAAAAATAGAAAAAAAAAAATAAAAAATCTAAAGCTAAAAATAAAAGAAGATCTACTTCACCAACAACACTTTGCACTAGAGATAGAAAATCCACAAGAAAATGCAACAGCTCTAACAGTAATCGTGATAGAAATAAGACTCACATTTTACCCGAAATTTGTTTGGTTTGTTAAAAGGTGGAGAAGTACTTTATGGATAAGGTAAGATTGTCTGAAAATATATATATATATATATATATATATATATATATATATATATATATATATATATATATATATATATATATATATATATATATATATATATATATATAATTTGTGTGTGTGTGTGTAATATGTATAGCTTAGCAATTCTTTACAGACCAAATATTGCATAGCTACTCATATTATTTTATCTATTAAATATACTATTATATTTTATGTATATTTTTGAATTCTCTTTAATTTACTTATTAAAATTTTTTATTAGGTGCAACTAAAGCGATCTGTGCAATATCTAACTCTGGCAGAAACAAAAGATGCAGGATTACTTCGTGAAGCTGCAGAGCAAAAAAATGATGAGCGTATACTCTTGCAGATAAAAGACAAAGACTGTATTGCTGTAGGGGTAAGATACCACAAAATCTGCTACACTTTATACACCCAAGAGGTACGCAATATTCAGCGATGTCCAAAACCTAATTTAGATATTTCTAAAAATTATGATATTGCATTTCAAAAACTTTGTGAAGATATTGTTATAGAAAGAATTATAAACAATATTGAAATTATGACTCTTAAGAGCCTTCTAAAAAAGTTTATTTCTTTTATAAATCAATTTGAAAATAGTGACATAATAATATACCAGTCAACTAGATTAAAGAACAGACTTGTTTCTAAATACCCTAATTTAGTATTTCATAAACCAAGTAATAGATCTGAAAGTGAAATTGTTTATATATCGGACTGTAATGTAGGATTTGCTGCAGAATCTTTTGTTAACAATAGTTCAACTGAAAATACAGATGAAGATGATAGTAATAGTCATGATGACAACACAAAAGAAATTCCTTAACAAAATATTAGTATAGAATTGGTCCATTTTTACATGGTGGCATTAGAGTTGAAAAAAGTTATTCAAGGAATAGCTGATTTCACTGGGATTTGGCCTCCAGTTTCACATTTGTTTACCATTGAAAATTGTGTTGAAAGTGTTCCAATAGTACTATATAACTTTTTATGTCTTTTTCTTGGTTTTTCTGATGAACCCTATCTTTATAATCAACGTCATTCTATTACAACACCACTTATGCTTAAAGTTATTTCTATTGCACAAGAGCTTATTTATGTTGCATTAAAAGGGCGAACCAATACTTACAAACATCTTGCACTCGGTATGACAGTCAGACAACTTACTGGATCCAGCAAGCTTATTGACATTTTAAATGGATTTGGTCACTGTGTATCAAGTTCAACTGTCATTCGTCACGAATCTGCGTTAGCAGCATTAAATGTGATGGTTAATACCATTGTTCCATGTAATGTAGCAAAAAAAAAGTTCACAACTCTAGTATATGATAATGCTGATTTTCTTGAAGAAACTCTCTCTGGATCTGGAACAACTCATGTTACTCATGGAATTTGCATTCAGGAAAAATACAATTGCAATTTTAGCAACTCTATCCAAGTTGGCAGAATATTAAAAACTGTTCCATTGCCAAAACAAGTGGTTCAACCATATCATTTAGGAAAAAAACCATCATTTAGTGTTCCATATGATAGCCAAAATTATTTAACTCAAAATAATATATTTGATTTGACACCTTCCACAAATGTCAAAGAACAATTGAATTTTATTAACTATGATCTGGCCTACTGTTTTATCAAGTTGCCAACTATAAGCTCAGAAATTCTACCTTCACGGACAGGTTTAAACACTATAATGTCTGATAAAAATATGCTAACTACTATTGCTTACTTACCAGTTATTGATACACCTGTAACTGAAATATCAACTATCAATGAAATTTTGAAGCAAGCACTCACAATTGCTAACACGCTTGAACTAGCACATATTGTGTTGGTTTTTGATGAAGCTGTCTACTCAAAAATACAGTTAGTTAGGTGGAAGACTGAAGAATACTTAAGCCGTATCGTAGTACGTCTTGGTGATTTCCATATGTTAATGTCATATTGTAGTGGAATCTCAAAAATTTATGCTGATGCAGGAATGCAGGTAATTTTTTTGAAATTTGTATTGATTAACACAACTTTAACTGTAAAAATAATTATTGTACATTATATTGTATACAATATTACAATATGCAATATTGTATATATATTAGGTTGAAACTTATATACAACACAGTAACATTAAAGAAATTTTTTTGCAATATAATTTGGCATAAACAGTTATTAAAATTTATTAGGATATATTTATTGAATCTGGGTTTGTGGCATCTGGTTCCATTAACGGAGTCCTATCAGGGAAACATTACAATCTATCTGTGCGTTGTCATAAAACATTGTATGAAGCACTTTAACGCCTCTGCTTTCAATCATTTTTGGATTCCTTGGTGAACGAGGAAAATTGTGATATCATTGAATTTTTGTCTGCTATGAGAGAATGTATTGTTAAAGAAAATGATGACTTTTATTATCACAATTATAAGGTATTTTAGTGAAACTTTCTTTTTCTTTTTAAGGCTTTTTAAAATACACTTTAACATAAAAACAAACAAAAAACTTCTTAAAACTTCTTGCAAAATTTTTTCTTAAATTAAAGAAAAAAAAATTTGTATCATTTTATATTTATAGCAGTAAATATTGCATATTATTTCTCATAAAAGGAAATTAAAGGGATATTGCTAAACAAAAATTTGAATAAACCAAAATGTAATTATTTTTCAGGATTATATTGAGAGCCAGAAGTTTGAGAATCTGTGTCAACGGTACAAAGATTTTGTTGATGTACAGTGCCAAGAAAATGCCACATTCAACTTTTGATATAATTACATAGATATGATACAAATTTTGCTTTTACATATACAAGCTACGCGCACTAGAGATTGGGCGTTACATTTATCAGCTGTTAGATCGATGCTCCCATGGTTTTTCATTACAGATAGAGTTAATTATGCGCGATATGCTACTTCTTACTGGGTGGAAATGAAGAGATTAGCAATAACTCATCCAGGTAGCTTTGATACATTTAGTTTTAAAATAAATATTTGGTAATCTTCTTTGTTTTAAGAATATTTGTAGTGTATTCATTGATAATGCAAAATGCAACTACATAATTTAAATTGTTTTATATAAATAATAATATAATTTCAATTTCTGAAAATATACTCTAGCTTATTTTAATATAATATATTTTAGCTGTTAATGATGAAATTCACAATAACTGGACTTCTCAACGACAGGAACAATATGGATTTTCTAGAATTGCATGTGACCAGACAATTGAGCAAACTTTTAATAGGGATTCGAAAACACAAGGAGGCATTGTTGGGTTTACTCGAAATTGATCAGCTGTTCATCGTTGGATCATGGCTCAACATCAACGCTGTGCTATATTTAAACAATGTGAAATCATTTGGGGTAGTATATCTCATACACGGTAACTTTGTTTTCTTACTTTTTGCTTAATTTTAATAAAGTAATCTCTCTCTTTACTATCTCTCTTTACTATTATAGCTTCACACTGTATTGTTTACTGTATTTAGAGTAGTAGTTAGTAAAAGATTCAACTATTTCATGTTGTAGGCAGAGGAAAGACCTTGGCGTTAGTCGGATCAAAAAGGACGAAAATGCTATTCTTGATGTTCTATCAACAAATAAAACCATGACAAACCCATTTGATTTCGAAACTAGTGTCCTTCTTCATTTATCTACAGGAGCAGTTGCAACTGTTCCACTGACTACAGATATGAGAAACATGTTGTGTACAGGCGAAGCGAAAGTTGTATAATTTATTAACACCAGAATACTATCAAGTGAACAGGATTTACACTCATCCATTCCTAAATCAAAAATTGTAAAATTTTCCAGTATGTTAAAAAAGTATTCAGCTAAAACCTCAAATGGAGACTTAGTTACAGTAAAAAACACAAAAGATTTGTTTGGAAAACTAATTCTACTTGTTTAATCCAGAAATGTTGAGATGAGAGAAAATTTAAAGTATCTTCTTTGTCCATATCCAATGCCTTTTGCTACAACAACTGGTGGCTTAGTAAAAACACAAAAGAGCAAATTAATCAGTTTAATTGAAACTCCAGTTGTTGATGCTATAGTAGATAATGTTGAAAAAGGTAATGCTTTGGTGATTGATGCTATGGCGTACTACAGACGTTAAAAATTATCACTCCAACATTTAAAGAGTTGTCTGATTTTCTTCTGTGTACAGTTATTTCTTTGGGAAACTCCTTTGGATCATCTCGTATTGATTTTGTCAGCAACAGATATCCAGAAGTCAGTATAAAAGATCTTGAACGAGATAAAAGAGCTTCATTGGGAAGCTAGACAATCAAGATTATGAACCCTAACCAAAAGGTTCCAAAGCAGTGGAAAAAATACATGTCTGTTGGAAGCAACAAAGAAGATTTGGTAGACTTTTTATATCAAAGCTGGCAATTGAGTGATCCTAGTTTGTTTTGTGGAATTTCAGTATACATAACACATGGTGAATTTTGTCATCAATTCGTCCCTATATTGAAAACTGTTGTTGTGAACGAAGTAGCTGCTTTGCACTGCAATCATGAGGAAGCAGATACACGTCTTTTAGCTCATGTTGAACACGCCATCACCAACGGGATTAAAAATATCATTATTCAAAGTCCGGATACTGATGTGTTTGTAATAAGCTTAAGTAACACGTTTTGTAAAGATAGTTGTCTATACTTTCTCACTGGAATAGGAAATAAAAGAAGGATAATCTCAATAAATGCTGTCATACAGCATTGGAATAAAAATTGGTGCCAGGCATTTATTGGTTTTCATACATTTACAGGTATTTTTTGTTAATCAAGTGATTAGTATTTATTTCAGTTTTCTTATGATCAATTATATATTAGTAGGAAGTTCTATGTGATTATATTTAGTAGGTTAGTTGTTTGAGTTTGAAACACAATTCTCCAGGTTCGAACCCTTGGGGTCATTTGCCAATTAGATGGATTTTATTTTCTTATTATGCAACAAGATATATATTACAAAATTGTATTCTATGAATTTCTGTAAAATATTTATATTTTTTAGGTTGTGACACAACAAGCTCGTTCATGGGAAAAGGTAAAGGGAAACCCCTTAAGGTCCTCTTTGAGTATACCGAATTTCTTGACACATTTAGTCGATTAGGAGGTTCCTTTATAATTTCAGAAAGTGTTTTAAGTAGTCTGAAGAAGTTTGTCTGCTATATGTATCAAAAGAATTCTACTTGTAATTCTGTGAACGAAATGAGGTATCAATTGTTTAAATCCGGAATATACGACGAAGAACTGCTCCCACAAACTTTAGATTCTCTTAGATGTCATATAAAACGAGTTAACTATCAATCATATATATGGCAAAATGCAACTAAGCCTATTCATAATTTAGAGGATTTCCAAAACCATGGCTGGATGGTTAGTAAATCAGGAATCGCCATTGAATGGCTAATGAATCCAGTAGCACCAGAAAGTATCCTAAACTTTGTAAAATGTAACTGTACGACAGGTTGTGATACTAAACGCTGTTCTTGTGTAAAATCGGCTTTTAAGTGTTCAGAACTATGTAACTGCTCAAAGTGTGATAACACTGCTTTTGCTGACGATGAAGATGTTTATGATTATGGTGTTAAGGATTACGATGAGTACGAAGATGAATTGTTAGAAGACCAAACTGATTATTTTTAAGTAATAGTTTTTAATTGTTGTATTTACGTATATTTTAAAAGGCTTTTTTGAAAAGAATAAAATTTTAAAATATTGTTTAACTGTCTAAATCGGTTATGAATCGTTAAAATCGCTATTTATACACGATTATAACAGGTAGTGCGAAACTTTTCTTTAATAATATATATATTTTTAAAATTGTCTTAAAACCAATCAAAATTGCTAATCCAATTACATTCTGAAAAAAAAAAAAAAAATTTCATAGTTAACAGCTAAAATCGATAAAAATCGATAGATCGTTTTGATGGTTTTTTAAAGCTCGACATAAAAAAAACTGCGGGTTTTTGAACAGAGAAATTTATAGTTTATAATCTTATAACTAACATCTATAGTTTATAATCTTATAACTAAATCTTATAACACCTTAAAACGCTCATTTGCATCAAAATTTTTTAGAGCTTATGACTGCATCACGAAAATTGATTTTAAAGCATCTTTTTATGCTTTGGCCTTCGGTCTATTACAATTAACTTGTTCAGATGTAGAAACAACGCGGAAAATTGCCTCTGTTCGAGTACACGTTGAGAGAGTTATTGGACTGTTACGTAACAAATATCAAGTTCTGCAAAGTATAATGCCATTAGATTACTTATATACTAGATTCTGGATTATGCGAAATAGTCAAAATTGTTATTGTTTGTTTTTTATTGATAAATACATGTGATTCAATCATTCCTGTAAAATAGTTTTTGAAAAATTTAACAGGATTGAGTAAATAAGTGAAACTAGAATTTATAAACAAAAACAAATATTATCAAATTAAGTATCAAATTTTTATTAAAAATCTACACTTTTATTTTAATTTTATACAATAATCGCGATCATTAAACGGTTTGTTTTCTTTTTTAAAGTAGCTGTGTTCTATTAGTATAAATTTATTTTTATCTGATTTTTTTTTTATAAATTGATTTTTGTGGGTGTATAATTTGTTAATTAGTTCAAATAAAATACATTCTTTAAAAAATTGTTTACATTTTATTATATTCCTGTCCATAAATCCTATATCCAGCAATATTCTTTCGCAATACGAATCTTTTAATGTCCAAATAATAATTTTACAGTAGTTACTTGATGAAGCATATAACTGACACTGAACTTGAAAGTAATATTTATGTGATTTTCTGAGAGATATTTAACCAGCATTATTTTCCAGACAGCACTATTTAAAATCTAATAGTTCGTTGATGTATTTATCTCTCGCACTATATGAACACTTTATTTCCAGACAACTATTTCCACAACAATCTTAATTAATAACAGCATCTTGTAATGCACCAAGGAAGGGTTACTGAACTGTAATAAAAAAGCCACACTTTGTTATTGAAAATTTAGAGTGTTTTTTTTTCATGATCATTTCCCCATTTTGTTGCTGCTGTGCAAAAAACGTGCTTGAATGAGGTAACATATTAGCATAATCAAACTAACTGGTGGTTGGGTGGTGCTTGCACAGCATATACTCCCGAATTTTGAAGCAATTATACGACCTGCCTAAAGTAAAACCAGTTTTTACTTTTTGCTTGAAGTCGCGTTGTACTGTCAACATTTTTACTTTGCTCAATCGTTATTGTAATTTTTTTTTTACAAGCAGCTAGGAGTTGTTTAGATTTTAAAAATATATTGTTCTAGTGAAGATCTGACAATGATTCAAAATGTTTTTCTGCTATTATTGATGGCTCATACAGTTTGCTAAACCCAAAAATAATTGAAAGAATAGGTGGTTTAGTTGCACATTGACTAATATCTAAAAAAATTTATCAGTTTCCTCTTTTGTTGGAATAGTAACACTATTTCTATGTGTTATTTTTTTTTATAGATTATGCTTTGAGCTTTATTATTCAAATTGCATTGCAAAGATTTGGGTGAGGTAAAATCAATATCTGAAACAGGCTTGAATTGTATCTTTTTGGAGCTTGGTAGTAACTAATAAGCTTTTTCATCAGTGCATGTTTTTAAACTTCTAATGTTAACTGCACTCTCAATATGAAATAGTACAGCACCAACATGTAAACAGCTTTCTTCGAGACCAGCCATGCAATTGCAATATGCAAAAACTTTACTTCCTGACTTCTCCAAAATAATCCCTGGATGTAATGGTACATCATTCATTTTTTGAATGTTTCACCTAAAAAATTAGTACTAAAAATTGAAACATGAAAGGTCTTTCTATTTTAATATTGATTTATTAGTTAAATAACCTACTCTGCCATGAATAAGAACATATTCCTCAAATAATTTCACACCGGCGTTAATAGCCCAACCTGATACAAAATAATTATAAAAATCAAGAGCTTTGCATGCTTTTAACTCATTCTTGGAGCAAATAAAAAAAAGTTAACAACATCCGGATATGTAACATTTGGATAACTTTCTATATTATCTTTAAGAAGATATGGGTCAACGTGGTTTTTTTTAAATGCTTTTATACGTGCTTATTTTTTCTAAATATCTTTGCTTTGCATTAAAATCAAACTTAGACAAATATTCGCTTTCTGTTGCCGAACTATTTGATTACGTTTATTTGTCTGTCATAATGATGGTTATTCATATTTACGAATAATTAGAATAAACTAATGATGAGTTAGGAACGGTGGATCCGCCTAATCTGACCTGGATTTAGATAAAAAGTCTGGAAGTTAATTGTGCAACTTAAAAAAATTAGATAAATAAGCCGATAAATTGCATAAGTGTTTTGCAGATAGACTATGTAAAGTTCTTAAAGTGCATTATTTACGATGTCTGACATTTGTTATTATGTACGAATGGCTTTAGAGCTTAACGATGTAGTGTTATTAAATGAAATTGTTTTAAGAAGTAATTTCTTTATGCTTTCTGTATAAAGAAAACCTGCATTTATTTCAAGCAAAATTTCTGTTTAGAAACAAACATCAAAAGCTCGAAATTTAATAAACTTGTTAAGCAATTAAACGTTTATAATGATTTTTTACTTTATGCTATTATGCAATAAAGCAACAATTATCTTCAGTGAAGATAATTTGTGGCTTTATCTGCATTTTTATGAACTTGCAAAAAATAAATAATACTTTGTTTTCTCTTTTTGTAAAATTAAAAAAATATATATGCATGGCTTAGTGAATTTTAACTGCTAGCATAGTTTTGTAATAATGCTGCTGATTTGTTTTTATTATTGATATATTTTATACATTTATAAAATATATCAATATAAAAAAGATAACATATATATCACAACAGCACTATAACAAAACTATGGTGGCAGTTTGTAATTTACTTAGAAAAACATACATATTATCATATCATCTTAAAAACATATGGTTGTCTTAGTAAAATACAAGGTGCTAGCATAGTTTTGTAATATTGCTGTTGTGATATTTTTATATGTAAACATATTTTTTTTTAAACTTTAAAGCACACCGTGCCGGCACAAGTCGTCTATTAGACGTCTATTTCGCTACTCGTTTGTCTTTAGACGTCTTAGACAGTTTTGAGATATCTAAAAAACGTCTTAAATAAAGATGTCTGAGACATGCTCACTAGTAGACGTCTTAAAAATGTTTCAGTTCTTGCGTCTTAAAAAAATCACGTTTACGACGTCTTCTAGACGTCTAAAATTCAGACATCTTGAAGTAAATTATATCCATTCATTATTTCAGTCAAATTTGAACAAACATGAAAGAAACGGCAGCAATGAATTTTATATGGAAAAATCAGAAGTAATATTGCAATTAAATAAAAGTGTAATGGTGGTCGATTAGGTTATTTTCTAAACTAAGTAAAATTTTTATCATGTAAAATTTTTCATGTATTTTATGTTTATATGCTGCGGAATAGATTATAATTAATAATATTATATTAATAATATAATACATAATAATAGAACCTATAATATTCGGCTATATTAATAGACTATACAAATATTCACTCATGACGATGTTCATATAGCCTATCATGAAATGATAAATGTTTTAGGTGTTTACCTAAAACATTTATCATTTCATGATAGGCTATAATAACACACATAGTTAATTGTGAATCATGAGTGACTATTTGTTGTCTATTATTATAGCCTAATATTATAGGACAAACATACAAATTATATACGCATATAATTTGTTGCATGATAATTTCCATGTTTTCCATGCATTATGAAACAAAAGTCAACTTTATTAAATTTAATTTTAAAAATTATTATTTTATTTTGCAAACATATAATATAATAAATGTATAACAATAAATTATTTTATTTACAAATATTATTATTTTAGTTAATTAGTAAGAGTTTCTTGTGATTTTCCTGGGTCTTGGAATAACAACTTCTGAAATATTTTTGTGGAATGCCTCGACATAAAAGTGATTGCTTATTATTGTTATTAGGTATTTACATCTATCATTTGATAGGTTAGTAATATTATTTTAATATAATTTTTTTTTTATTTGTCTTATTTGTCTTTATTTTTTATTTTTATATTTTTATTAAAATTTAAATTTGTTATTTCTCATAGGTTTTCTCATTTATCAAATTTTTGAATATTAAAATGTGGTCACTCTGAGTGTGGAAAGAAAACTCTAGAGTCATTGAAGATGTTGTTCCTCATAGTTGGATTGAGGCTAATGTATTGCGTTGGCCACCAAAAGGATTTTCTGGGAAAAAACCTATGAATAAAAGAATTCCACCTAGTGATAATTGGCTATCTTTTCTAATTTTAAAAATAAATTTGACACATGGTTAGTTACTTAAATTTATTAATTTGACATTTACTTTCTAATTCAAACATTGCATCATCATATAAGGGCCAGCTTAGCTGTTTTGTAGACCTGGGGGAAAAAACAATCTTAATTTTATGGAGAATTAATTAGACAAAACTATAAATTTTTTTAACTTGTTAATTGTTTTTAGTTTTAAATAGGTTTTTTAATAGGTTTAAAACATTTTTTGTCTTTATGATTCAAAGGTTTTTTAGGTTAAGAGATTAGATGTTACAGTCCGCTTTTTTTTCTCCTCCAGGGCCATAGCAAATGCCACATCTGCACTGTAGATAATCTTATTCAGCATAACATGTTTAAACCTTGAACATGTATTACAAATGTTATGATGTGTAATACATTTTATAGTTGTATTAATTTAATAGTTTATATATATTTTGTAGAGGATAAAACTGAGTGCATGACACGTGAGTATACAAGTCAGGATTAAGGAATAAAGGAGAAAGAAAAAAACATCAATGAGATTGAGTTTCAAGAAGTTGGAATTGATTTACCGGTGTTTCATGATGATACAAATTTTAAGCGCTTAGGAAAAAATAATAATTCACACCTAAAGCAAAAAACACGTTCAATAAGTGATAGTGATGATTGTGACGACTCAACATTGGATTCCCCAATTTTAAGAAAGGCTTCAAAACAAAAAAGTGCTATCATAAATGGTAATTATTTAATTATTAAATGTAATACTAATTTCTAAATTGACTCATAGATTACATAAATATACATAGACATAGACTACATAGATATAGGGAGTTTAAATTATTTTTAGAAAAAGACAGAGAGAACCTTTTAAATTTTTTCCATTTCAGCAGAATTATTTCCTTTGGAGGAGTTAATTCAAGCTCCGAGCATAATATATCCAATATCAAATGCTAGTAAATTTGTGTTATTCAATTATTTAAAAGTTTTAAACATCAATTGAATTAGAAAGTTGATTTATTTTATGTTTTATTAAATTTATTCATTGCGAGAGAAATTGATAAAATTAAATAGTAGGGAGCTTAATTTATTTGGTATTCCAAATAAATTAAATAAATTCCAAAATCTAAATTTTAACACTAAATAAGTTAAGAATATTGTTTGAAATGTGTCTAAATATTTTAAAGTTTATTATAACTTTTAATAATAAATAGAAAAAGAACAAAAAAAAAACAATTTTATTTTTAGGTTTTCAACAACAAGTTCTTGCACTTTAAGAAAAAGTTGTTAAATGGATGAGAGATATATCAAATAGTTTATCTTTACCGACGACTTCAAATAATCAACTCAACAAACTCCAGTATTTTTATTTGATATTGAGTGTGTAAAATCAAAAGAGGAGTTTTTTTTGTTTGAAGAAAATATGAAAGTGGATTTATTTGTAGAAGAAAAAGTAAGATTATTTAATATATCGGTATTATTTAATATGTCGGTATACACACATATATGTGTGTTAGGGCTCTAAAATACTGCTAGTTTAATACGAATTTTACTTCTTAGATTGTACAACTTAAGCAAATAGGAGGGCTTGACTATAAAGATACAATAAAGAACATAATGAAGCGATTTTTTTCCGATTTTGCCATGCGTGAGATGAACATGAATGGTACCGGAGGAATTTAGTATTACTAGTTTTTGGCGGAACCGAGACCTACAAACCAATTTATAAAGTAGTCATGCTCAAGTTCCCAAAGATGACGGAAAAAAAATTTCATCAAGTCGTTCAGAGCCTCCTTAAAAATGCCCCTGCTCGATTAAAAAAGAAAGCAGTCATATAAAAAATGACAATAATATTGTATATTTTATTGAAGATAAAGTTTCTTTTACAATTTGGTTATTAATCTTATATGTAAAAAAAATACAAAATATGATTTTAAATATAGTTTATATGTAATCAGCTTTATTAACATTCCTAATGTACTTTTCAAAGACATAAAAGATGTATTTTACATTAAAAGTTTATTTATATGCATTTTATTATTATTTTAAGTATTATATATATATATATATATATATATATATATATATATATATATATATAATTCTTCTTATTGTAATTATTATAATGCTATTAATATTTTAAGAGTGCCTGCAAATTTGAATGACTGGTGAGAAGACTCAATAGGTTTTTTTACTTACAACAGAGTGTTAATATAAAAAATATTATTACTGATAAAGTTTTTTTTATTCTTCTTCTTACTGTAATTATTCTTAATGTAAGAGTGTCAGCGAATTTGAAAGCCTGGTGGGAAGACTAAACAGGTTTTTTTACTTACAATAGAGTGATAACATAAAAAATATTTTAGTTTTTAGCAGGGGAACCGGGAAATTTTTTTTATAGTTTTTAAAATAGTTTTTTGTCTTTTAGAAATTTTCTTGGCCCACTTATCCTATTTGGCCTTGGGCAAATGTGGACTGTGGTTAAATCCCATCTGCACTGTGGGTAAATTTTATATTTTGGTTATTAATTATCTTTTACGTAAACAAACATAAAATATGACTTGTTAAGTATAACCTGTCCGGTACAAGTTGTACAAGAAGGAAAGGTACACAACAGAAGAAAAAAAAACAGAAAAGAAAATTAGAATGTTATTTATTGCGAGAGAATTTGATAAAATTAAATTGTAGGGAGCTCAATTTATTTGGTATTTAATGGTATATACTAAATTTGAATATAAAATAAATTGAGAATATTGTATGAACAGTCTCAAAATCGTTTGAACTGTATTATATAATTTTTAATGATAAAAAGTACATTAAATAGTTATGTTTTTTAGGTTTTCAACAACAAGTTCATGGCATTCCAAAAAAGTTGTTAAATGGATTCTCAACAACCTCTAGAGTCTTTATTTGACATTGAGTGTATAAAATGGAAAATGAAGTTTATCCTGTTTGAAGAAAATATGAAAATGGATTCATTACTTAAACAAAAAGTAAAATTAGTTAATATGCTGGTATTATTATTTGTATAAAATAATGGTGTTTGCTTATACTTAATTTATTTTATATAATTATATATGTGTGTGTGTGCTTTTAGATACTGGTAGTACTTCTTAGATTGTAAAACTAAAAGGCTTGATTACAAAGATACGATTAAGTACATAATGAAAAGATTTGCCATGCGTGAAATAAAGAATACCGAAAGTCGAAATAAGTTAGCTTTTGGGTTAACCGAGAATTACAAAACAGTATATGAAATAGTGACGTTTAAGTTCCCGAAAATGACAAAAAATGAGTTTTATCAAGCTATTCAGAACCTACTTAGAATGCCCCTGCACGATCAAAAAAGAGAGCTGTATAAAAATGACAGTTGTATACACAATTTGTTTAATGTTTTATTGATTATATAATCTCTTTTATGTTTTGGTTATGAATTTATCTTAAACGTATAAAAATAACTCAAATATAATAAACTTTAAATATAATTTAATAACTTTAAATATAACTTAAGTGCCGAATATATTGAGTGAGCGTCTCTTAGACGTCTTAGCAAGACGTCTTAAAGGTGTTAACAAATAGACGTCTCAAGACGTTCTTTAGACGCTCTGGCAAGTTTTCAATCCGACGTCTTCGAGACATCTAATACTAGAACTCTTATAGACGTCTAACACAGTACGTCTTACAGACGTCTAAAATGTGTTCAAATGTGTTAACAGGTAGATGTCTTAAGACGTACTTGAGAGCTGACTTAAGTTACCGTCAGACGTCTAATAGACGTCTAATAGACATCTTTGTGCCGGCTGGGCATGAACCATCAACCAATGACGATATTAATAATAATGATTTTTAATATTGTTATTGTTGTTATTATTATAATAATTGGCTAGGCGTTAGATAAACAATTATGCTTATTAGTTCAAAGTTGAACTTTATAAATAAAATTGCTATAAGTTTATTAAGAATGCATCAATAACAATGCTGGAGAAAAATATAATTAAATAAAAGCTATTAAGGAATAAAAATAAACCTTTCTTAACCCAAGTTAAATGTTACCTTAAATTATACTTCTTATCTGTTAAAACTCAAACAGATTCCAATAAATAATTAAATCCCAAATAAGTCTTGGGGTCGGAATTATTTTGGTTGGATGCAATAACCACAAGCTTTTAACTCGATAAATAAAATTAAGAAATAATACTCAAAAACATATTCTGAATTTAATAAAAAAGATGAAAGGCCAAGACTAAAAGGCAACATGTTCCAAGCCCAATAGTATTGATACTCTTGTCTTGATATGTGACCAAGAGCAAGGACAATGCAGCGATCAAGGACTAAAAACTCTGGTTAAGATGACAACAACTTTAAAAAAAAGAATAGTTCGAGCCTTACCCAACAAATTTGGATCTTGCAAATTATTAAGTCCTACGAACAAATAAATGTTTCGGAACATTCAATTGTTCTGGGTTGGCGGGACGGTACAAAAGGACTTTAAATGTTCCGTGAATTTTTGTTAGAGTTGCGTTTACACGAGAGCACATTTGTTCATGTTCCATGTTCTACAGAATGTTGTGCTAAATGCACCCTCGTGTGAATGGAAAATTATACCGATTTATTACCATTATTTTATTTACCATGTTAATATAACTATTGTTTAAACAAAATATTATTATTTATTTATTGCTAAAAAAAATTTTATTATTATTACCATTACTCTGCGAAGCACGGACGCGTATAAATGTACGATTTAAGTCAGACGCGTGTCTGACTTAAATCGGACACGGATTCGCCGATGATACGGTGAGATTCGCCATCAAAAAATTTTAGAAAAATAATACTTTACCGATTTTGTAAAAGCGATTTCTTTTCAAAGCATGGTTTGAAAATGGTGTTCGGAAATAACTTGTTATTTACATAAATGTTATTTATCACATTATTTATATTTATTACTCTCAAACATTAGTATTTATAATATGACTGCAATTTCATTACATATGACTTATAATATGACTGCAGTTTCTTTACATGAGTTGAAATAAATCTAATGATCATCATTAATTACATAAATATATAGAGATTTATTTAATGTTTTAGTTTAAGATTTAAATTTACTGATTACTCTTATTTATTGTTTTATTTACTGTTTAAACTTTTAATATACAGATTAATATTGCTGTTTTAATATACATATATATACTGATTTAGTATTACTATTTAACTTATTTACTATTTGAATATACAGATATTAGTATTACTATTTAGTTTATGAACTGTTTTGTAATGCTAAAATAAATTTTGTAATAGTAATATTACTATTTGGATTAGTTTGAACATAGCATATATACATATATATATATATATATATATATATATATATATATATATATATATATATATATATATATATATATATATATATATATATATATATATATATATATATATATATATATATTTATATATATATATATACATATATATACTGTTTTAGTTATTGAATAATACTAGTATTTTGTAATACTAAAGAAGATTTAGTATAACTATTTAAATATACTATTTGTAATAGTAACACACTATTTAATATATTTACTGTTTTAGTAGTTACGTTTTAGTTTTTACTTATTATTTATTAAACTTGCTCAACGATTTATTTTGGTTTCTACTCGTTAGAAATATTCAATGACAAGCGGAAGTGAAGATAACACCAACTCTCTTATTTCGCAACATGTTAATGTTTTAGAAAAGAGAAATGAAGGAGGAGGAAATAAAAGATTTCAGTAAAAGTTCTGAAATTTACTGGATCTTATTCAAGAGTAAAGCCACATTTGCTGAAAATAAGTGGTTTTGGAATCAAGAAGTGTGCAAAAGTATCAAGTGATCTACACAAGAAATTGTTGAGTCAGATGGAAGAAGTTGATCGACGAAATAAACTAGTCGACTTGTCACATAGCCATCAGACGTTGTCTTCTGCCAGTAGTACAAGTCCTACTACTATTTAAATATACTACATAGTGTACCCACTGCACTAACTCTACCCACATAGTACATAGCCAATAGTACAAGTCCTACTATACTATATCCTACATAGTATACCCACTGCACTAACTCTACCCACATCATACCAAATCATGTGCAGTAGTGTAGCAGTAAAGAAAAGAAAAGCAACCGGGAAACGACCATTGGAACACGCATTTAACGCTGACGCATTTAACGCTAAGGAAATTTTGACTAGCCACATTGCCGGAATGTTTTATTCTGTAGGTTTGCTTTTTCAATTTGCAAGAAATCCTTATGATCTGAAAGCCTTTTCTTTTGCAGCAAATAATAATATTGGAGAATATATCCCTCTGGGATATAATGCTTTAAGGACAATTCTATTGCGAAATAAAAGAGAGCAAATGTTGATAGGATGTTAGAACCTATTAAGCAAACATGGGCTGCGAAAGGAGCCAGTATTGTTACAGATGGATGGAAAGATGTGCAACGACGCCTTTAATCAACTTTATGGCTGTAACAGAAAGTGGTCAAATGTTTCTAAGAGCTGTGAATTGTGAGGGTGCGGTTTAAAATAATTTCTATTATTCCTTTCATAATATACTTTTTAGAGCATTTGAAAAACACTCAGCTGAACTACATTCTATTAAAGTTAAAGATGAAGTATGGAGTCCAGTTGAAATCGATTCAATTTGACCTCTTTCTTTAACAGAAAAAGGAAACAAATACATCATAACAGCAACCTGTTTATTCTCCAAGTGGCCTAAAGCAGCTTCCTTATCTAATAAAACAGCTACAAGTGCAGCAAAGTTCTTGTATACATGCTTTACAAGACATGGTTGTTGTGAAGTTCAGATAAGTGATCAAGGAAGAGAGTTTGTTAACGAGGTACTGTGTTGGATTTTGTTTATATTTTTGCCTTTTTTTTCGTTGTTGTTAATTTTTAGTTTTCATTACTTTTTTGGAAAAAGCTCTA